TTTTTTTTTTTTTTTTTTTTTTATCTCTCTTTTTCTCTAACCCTCAACTTTATCGTTCGCGTTAATTCGAAACTAGACACCGCGTCGAAAATTTTCCGAGCAACAACTGAAGATAATTCAGATTAGGAAAAGCAAGGCGGATATAATCGGGGAGGGGGAGGAACGAGCCTCGAGAGTGAATCGGATGAAGTCGTGGCGATAGTCCATTCTCAAAATCCATTCGCGACCATATCCTCGTTCTATTTGTTCAATTGCGAGCATCCAAACAAATTTCGAATTGCTTGGCGCAACGGAGTCGAGTTTCGAGCCGGATATAATCGCGGCCACGAGAGTTAATACAAACATATGCACGCGGCAAAATTGCACACGAGTTAGAGTGCAGCTCTAGACGCGTGTGTCGACGCAATCCTTGATTCAACTACTACTACCCCTTTATGTTATTATACAGAAAATTTTAAGGAAATATACGGGTAATTTTGTTTGGATTTATAAGTTATAAGTTATAATTTTGATTTTTTCAATATAATATTTTATTTTTAATTTCCTTAGAATTTGTAAAATAATAAATATATAGTGTAAAAAAAAAATATTATAACTTCTTTTTTGAACATTTTAATGAAAATTAAAGAAACTACTTTTAAAAAATAATATTAACCCTTTCGAATAGATTCTTCATTCAATGAATGAATAATATAACTATCCTAATAAATATATTTTTTAATCTACTTTTACTTCGCAACTTATCATTGGAAAAAAAAAATTGGTTCGAAAATTGGCCATTCTTGGCTAATGCTACGAGATTACGAGATTTTTTACGAGAAATTTGACGTCGAAATCCGATATTGATTAAACTACAATCCTATTTCGCGAGTCAACCTGAAACTTGTGAACAAATCTTGTCGTACGGGAATTCGCCTAAACCACACGCGACATCAATCAGGTTCAACGAAACTCTGTTACATCCAAGTGTAACGCAGAGGCAACAGGGTCAATTGGACGAACTTACAACTTACAACTCGTTACCAATGACATCCAATATACACTATCTATTGTACGTTTCCGGACACTTTGATCGATTTGTAGTAACAGTTCGAGAACTGTATCAAATGTACCGTATAAATCCATAGGAAATGATATCACTCCTTTCCCAACAATTATTTTATTCGCAATAATAATCGAAAATATGTCGAAGATAATCTAAATCTATTATTAATGATAATTTTACGCAACTAGAATATAATGTACTATACGTGAAAAAATAATGCATGTGAAATATCTATTAAAATAAGAAAAAAGTTCGATATTTGATAAATCAAAAAAAAAAGGGGGATAAAATATTTCAATGAAGAAAACACGAAGAAGAAACACGATCTTAAATGTAGATCCTAGCGGACAGATTGAAGAAGAATTAGGCGAATTGGTATGAATTCCACGTCTCACGAATATAACACAACTTTTATTCCAACCAATATCGCTGTTCCCTCTCATCTCAACAATGAATCGTCTTATAAATCTTTAAACTACTTCAACCTGCCTCCTATGCACGATAGTCTAGAAGATTTAAGAAAAGCTATTCATATCTTATTCAGGATATTCTTTCGCCCGATTTTAAAGAGACAAATCTCATTGCCGTATCGTCTCTGTCCATTCTTTGAAGGGCGGATAAGCGCGTCAAGTTTTAAAGTTAAAACGGAAGAACTCGTTGGGAAGCAAGAAGCAACACGGTGTCTAGCAGCGTACAAAGAGGAAATAACTTTTAGTAGACGCGTAAAGGCAATTTTTCAGGCACATTTTCTTTTGTCCTTGACGAACGATTAAGCTGCAGAAAGCACTTTAACCAGGGACACTTTTATCGAGGTAAATTCAAAGATTGAACGAGGAAGAGGGGAACGAAGACACGAAGAGTTCGAGTGTTTTAATTCTTTAAGTGGCTTTTGTTTTAATTGTCTTCGATGAAGTTTGAAAACTGATTACTTATTAAATTATTGATACGTTTGTTTTTTACTTTCATTTGTTTATGAATAAAAATTGATTAATATTCTAACACCCAATACAAAGAATGAAGAAGAATGAAGAATGGAAGAAAGAACTATACTGAACTAAATAAAAAAGAAATACTAAACTAAATAAAAAAGAAATACTAAACTAAATAAAAAAGAAATACTAAACTAAATAAAATAAATAGAATTAAGAGTAATGAAATTAGAAATTCAAAATTAGAATAGAATAAAAGAAAATTATTTTTTTGTTTTATTTTCTTAATGGATGAGATAATAAAAGAAGATAAGGAAAGAAGAGAAAAACTCATGGAAAAAGAATAAATGATTTAATCATTTGCTTATTAAATGTTCTTATATAAGAGCTCTTAAACTGATTTAAATATAAAGTAAATAGAGAAAGCATGTACAACTCTGTTCATAACTATTAGCATACCTGTTGAGTCAAGTAAGTAAAATTAATCAATTCTAACTATATCAATTATTTGAAAATTCTGTGAAATTTATGAGAATTAACGTTTAAAATAAATACTTAAAATTTTTTAATACATCTAAATACAATATTATTATTTTATTTACAATTAATTCGAGAAAAAAAAATATATTTTTTAGAATTAAAAATAAAACAAATACTTTGATAATTTTCTTTTCTTTTTATCGAACAGAGATGCACTGCACTCGTCAAATTCATTTATACGAAATGTATCGATAAACGAAGATAAATGAACGAAAAAAACTATAACGATTCGATTGGTTTAATTATTGAAATCGAAAAACAAAAAGTTATCTAACGAGAATTATCGAAATAATATGTGCAAATATTCTAAGATTCATCCAATTATAAAATCCTATACGAATTTCAAATTATTCCGCGCATTATTATGCAGTTTCGCCTTGCAATATGGCGTCTTGAAATATGTGCTTGTATCGAAATGAATGGAAACAAGCACAGAATGAAAAAGAAATGGACAAACGAATACGATTTTACAGAATTTCTTCAAAATTAACGATTAGAATTTTATAACGACAATGAAAAATTTAAACTAAACGTGTATATTTGCTTCGATATTGTAAAATAATAATTTATTAAAAAATTTTGTCGAAAACTAGACACTTCTTTAATTCTTATTTAATTCTTAAAACAAATTAAAATAATAAAAATAATTTTGATTTTGTTTCGATTATTCCCTTTAATAATTAATTCGATGTGTTAATTATTTAGACATATAGATGCACATATTATTGCAATGCTAACGTATAACCTACATCTTGTAACCTGTCAATTCACTAATATGTTTCATTATGCAATAAGCACTGAGTCGATTGTTCATATATTACTTATTGCTTTTTAAATTAATTTTGGATATTTTAAAACAAGATTAAATTTTCATTGTGCTAATTGCATAATTAAATATAATTAATATAACCGTACTAACCTCATTATCTCTTCGATCAAGCTTCATATTTATGGGATGACGATGAAACGTATTCATGAAATGCAATTATATATTTTACGCACATATTAATTATAATATATTCACAATTTAATTTCACTAAACTAGACACAGAACAACACGCTTCGAAGGCTCGATACGAACTGCGTCTTTCTCCTTCGATTCAAAACATTCTACTCGTCCTTACGTCGCGTAATATACAAACGCACACGTATACCGTATAAATATACGCGCCAATGTCTCGATATAAATACTACGTGCGTCGTACGAAACGCTATTTTTTGAATAATTATATATTTAAATTGATGACTTTTTTAATACAATTTTTAATATTATAATAATAAATATAGAAATTTTTAATCTTTTTTATTTCGTGACACACATAAATTGCATAATTATTAAAATTTAAATATTTTTTAACGATATATTAAAAATATATACTTATACTCTTAATTTATTAATTGAAAAAAATATATATTTTGTTCCCGCTTTTTTTCAAATTAATATATATTAATAAAATAATTATTTCTTCCACTTGTATTAAATAAATAAATTTTATTGTTTAATTTTTCCTTTGAAAAATTTTTTCTAAATATAAATTTGTTTCTAAATAAGAAGTTTAATAGAATTTTTATCTTTTTAATAAAATCTATATTAATCAAAAACTTAATTTATAATTCAATCTTATCAAAAGAAGTTTACACTGTTTTTTCCTCCTTTTACCCTATTTTTTAACAATTTTATTTTAATATACATACAATAACCGTACACATTAAAACTTTCTCTTTTTATAAGAATCACCAATCGTTTAATCACTATAAAAATCACCATTCCATTGTATAATACAAAGATTATACATATTATTACAAGAAAATATTCAATAAAACTTTTTCAATCCTCTTTTTCAAATTCACCCAATTATTCCCAATAATAATCCCCAATCCCTCCGCCAATAGTTTTTCTTCTTAAACAACGAAATATGACGGAAACGAGCTATCAATTTCGGAATTAATCTCCAATTCCTTCGCGCACATAATCCTTAACCACGTAGCACCATCGAAATCGAAAGCGACGAGGAGAGATGGAAAGATTTGTAGCAAGGGTTAGCAAAAGTCGAGGATCTAGATTAGTACGTAGAGTAGGTGGGCGAGGATAATGGATTATCAGAGCGGCGAGATTAGTAAGTGGCTTTGCCGTAATTGCAGGAGAGAACGGTCGTGTTCGTTTGTCAGCAGGGGGATGTCTTTAATATCAGCTGCAACTATCCTCACCCCTTTCTACCGATCCTCTCTATCCCGAGCAGACTTCGTAGCACGTAATACCGCACATACCGCGACGTCGCCAGTAGCAATGAAAAATTACCTGCCCTTTGTCGAAAAGGAACGACACCAAAGCCCCTGGATGATGAAAAGGAACGAGGATCATCGCTCCTCTGCCCTCCACCTACGTCTTTTTCACGTCGCGTCGCGTCAGCAGCCGAGACTTTCGAATTTTCTCCCTCCCTCTGTCGGACTTTCGCAAGGCCGATTGAAACTGTCCAAATCGGTTGATTATTTTCGTTGAAATTATTCTTCGATTGTTAAAACTATGATATTCAATAGAAAAATAATGTTATTTATATTTCTTTAATCTGATTATTATATTGTTATATCGTGAGAATTAATTCTTGTGATTATGATTTTAATGAATTTATATAATGAAATGGAATAATTTAAATTCCATTCTTAAATTTATTCGAGGAGAGATAACATTTAAATACATTAAAATTAAAACATTCGAAACATAAAAATTCATTAACAATTTAGAAGAATTTCATATTGGAATACCTTCGAGAAATAAAGAAACTTTAATTTCAGTTCTTTAAATGAAGAAGCCCCTGTATTTATTCGGATTTTAATTATTTCGCAAAGATAAGATCCTCAACAACCTAATTCGCAGACAATGACATACCAAATCCAACGAGTTGCTCATTTTTAATCTCAAGTTTGTCCATTCGTTAACAAGTAATTTGAAAGTTAATTCGAAATCGACGGACCTTCGAATCCCGAAGCTTCCATTTTCTCGTTAAAACTTCTACGAACAGCCCGCACGAAATGAAAATTAACCGTCCTCGTAACTTCGACATCGACGAGGTGATACAAGGTAAACGGCTTTGCACATCATACAACCGATGCTATAAATGTCGTCGTGTATTATTAGAAGAAGGGTTATACGATGAATCTTTCGTTGTCTGGAAACGAACGAGCGCGAGTGTATCCGTAATAAAAAGTACAAAAAAAAAAAAATAAATAAATACTCAAATCGTGAATAGACCGTAATACCAATGTTCAACCATTCAGAAAACGAAATATTTAGAAATATATAAAACGATATCGTTATAAAAAAAAAAAAAAAAAGAAACAAAACGTTGATAGCATTGATTAGAATTGATTGGAAAAGTGTACATTGTGCATTTTAATAATTCTCTTCTAAATAAAGTTTCTCTTCTAAATCTATGTAATAGCAGATGAAAAATTTTATATAATAAATTATTACAATCGTTATTACCGTTTCAATACGTCAATACGGAGTATAAAGAAAATATTCGCGCGAGAAATTTTTATTCTTAATATTCGATTACGCTCTCTGGAAACGCGGCAACTTTCCAACGCCGGAAAGGAGGGGAAAGATTAAAGCCGAGGGGAAGAATCGAACGAATCTTAGAGAACGCTTTTCAAACTTTTTTCTTTTACTCGGTCGACCAATTCATCGACTCGATCGTTTCTCGATATTTTTTTCTTAATAAGCGCAATTTCCTTATCCGAGATCCCTCCAAGATAACAATCGCGAATACAACGACATGATAAAAAGATCCTGCCGTTTCGACCGTTCATTTATCCCCTCCCCTCCCAGACGTAAATATTAAAAAACTTTTCTCGAAACCGATCATCCGAATCGACGGGATTGGAAAACATTTCCATTTTCCAAGCGTGGATATACTTTTCGAATTAATAACTCGCATATATATATATATATAAGTCGATGTTTTCGCGAACAAAAAGTGAGAGAACGGACGGACGATCGATGGACAACGGAGGAGGAACGCGGTATGAATTTCGGAGGTTGCGCGTGAAAAATCAAATTTCACTTGGAAATTGCGTTAAAATTCATTCCTCCCCGAATCCGGACGATATTTCGTTATTAACGGATCAGGTGGCACGTTCAAATGAAATGTGAAATCGAAATTGTTGTTTATCGAAGCTAAAATTGAAAACTCGATCGCACGATACCCTCGCACGATTTAAATCAGCATCAGGGAGGAGGGGGCCGGAGGGAGGGGGCCACGTTAACCGTGATAAGTACACGAAGTTAATCGAACGTTAAACGATATCATAATGTACTTGATTAATTATTAATTGGCGTGTCTTGATGTAATTGCTTGTTGGCGAACGTATCTGGAATGTACGTACGTGTATGTCGACATACACGTCGTATTTTTATTTTTGTCACGAAAAATTAACCGACTCCAAGCGATTACTTTTTTTCATGATATTTTTTTTTTATTGATCGATCCACTTGTAAATTGATCAAATATTTGTTCTGAAAATCGTATATGCATTATACTATCTAAATATACGCGTAAGGATGATAGGGATGAAAATCAATATCTTTATGGTAATTGAAAGAAACAAAAAAAAAAAAAAAAAAGAAATCTGAAATCAATTCTATTCGAGAAAAATTGGAAATTTCATCCGAAGATTATCGAAAAAGTGTCTTTAATCTGGTAACGAGATCTTGGAAAAACCTTTCCACGATAACAAATTTAGCGCCTCAGCTCGCTTATAAAAACACCTTTTAAAAATTCTCGTAATATCAATTCGTAATCGCGTATTGAAAACATATATTCAACGAATCAATCCAACTTTAGAAACGAAGAAATTAGAAACTTGTTTCTCAAACATCGTAAAAGAAAGAGTGATCATCCCTTCGATATGGATCGATTCTAGGGGGGGAAAAAAAAAAAGAAAAAATTACAATTAAATAAACTTGAACAAAAGAGTCGTCCACTGGGCGGAGAGATAAAACAGGAGGAGTTCCTCGCTTTTGAAATTCCTCCGCTGGACGTTAGTTAAGCCCCGATAAAAAATGGAGCCTCCCATCTCCATCTCGATTAGAAGAGGGAAATTAGAGTCTGTCTGTTTGTTAGCACTTCTCTTCATCACCGAGTCATTTGCGATCTCAAACCGTTCTCGAC